TCTCAATAGAACCGGTTCAAGGAAGATGATTTTTTATTTTCACATACTTTATTAAGAAACGAGACCGTTTATTAGGAAAAAATGATCATATTTTTTAGAAACCCGCAAGTAGATGTTTGGTGTGTGGGCTCAAAATCATGTCGTATATATATATAGCCAGCATTGTCTAATCCTTCCAGAAGATTTTTTTGTGGTAAACACAAACACGACTAAGATGATAGTAAGTAGTAATTAAATCATTAATATCCAACCAAACTAAACCTAAAAGTTAGCAGTTAATGATTAGTTCGATGCATTATGTGTAGGGTTTAGTAAGACTGAATGAGTCAAGTCAATGCAAGCGGCTTTTTATTTACAAATTATACAATTCCTAATAGATGATATTGAATTATGTTTGGTCCGTATTTAATTTTCCTGAATATGCATGCACTGCACCACCTGATCCGATCAATTTTATAACTTATAACTTTTGAATTAAACAGATTATATATACACGTTAATACTGTATGTATATATTACCACGTGAAATAATTTACACGGTGCATTAATTGGTTTGAAGAATGAATCAACGAGTTACTAGAAGGAAGCCATATAAAATATGTTCGTTTTTAAAAAGAATAGAAAACTATGTTTTAAAGTTATCTGGAGAACTTGTTCAAAAAAAAAGTTATCTGGAGAAGGGAACAAAATTATACTTGTAAAAGAATAAAAATAATTTACGTCAAAATTTGAATTAACACTTATTTTGTTAAAAAAGAAAGTCTAAAACCATATTTATTTTAAAATGAAAGGAGCATAAAATACATGAAAAACCAAAAGATCAAAAACATTTTTTGTCTACCTTCCTTTTATTATTTTCAAATTTTAGCATCCAAAGTTACGTACAAACGTACAAAGAAATGCTGGACAACAACGAAACAAATACCAAACAAATTACACGTTGTTGATGTTCTACCCAATAAATTTGCACAGTTGTTTGATTCAAAACCATTCACTTCCGTAACATTCCTTTTCTTATAGTTATATCCTTCATGTAAGATTGAAGACGGTTGTTTGTACACTTAGATTAGTTGCTTTATGTTGTATTGCCTCCTTCGAAATCTATTATTTTGTAGCGCAATGACCACGTCGATTGTATTGCCCACAGAAAGCATAGCTTTCGACCTTTCAATCATATTTCGTTCTTGAAATTTACCAATGTCGCAATCTAAACAAGTACTATTTAAATCATAGATAATCCATCTCATGCATACATACTGTATTTCTCTATCTCTCTCATGGTGAGAAATTTTGTAATTATACTCCATCCATCCCTCTCAATGGCTTTTGCTCCATTCTCTATCTCCCAAAAAGATCAACCTTCATGAAACAAATGCCGTATTTTAAAAAACATGATCTTCTAACTAGAAATTTCCGAAAGATGTAATCACGGTATCGTTGCACTTTGCATAAACAATGTAACTATCATGTTATCGGAACTAAGATTGCATTAATTAAAGAGCTTCATACGTTAAGATTTTGGTTATAATAAGAGTATAATAATTATGAGGATATAAACTAGCATAAATTGTTTTTTGACGTTTAAATTAAATACAACAATCCTTTTATCTTTTTGTTTTTTTAATAATACTTTTATCTTTTTTGTTAATAAGTAATTTTTTTTTTGATAAATCGTTGAAGT